AGACCCTTGTCAGATGCCTACTCTTCCGTACGTTGCTCTGAGCTCGTCTTCACTCGTATTCGCCTGCTGCCTGTATTACCCTGCATCTCCGCTGCACTTCACTTCCGTGCAATGGCTTTCACAGCCCGTTGCTGCTCTTGCCAGTCCAAGCATACTATTGAACGTGGACGTATCTGCACAGGGGACAGGATGACCTCATCAGGCATGGTATGGGGCGTAGACAGGTAAAGGGAGCGGATGTCCTCATCATTGAGTCATCGGGTATGGTGCTAGTGAAATGGAAGGGTCAGATTCAGCGCAGAGCAGCAGTCTTGCCGGCAGTGCTGGATTGTCCAGCATGTGTGTAAGGTGCGTCCCAGATGGCTGGAAGTGTTGGGTGCTTTCAGACAGTTCTCTCCCACTAAAGCAGTGGCCGCGGGTACATGGCACTACTGTTTGGATCATGAGTGGTCGTCACTGCAATGTGAACTTGTGCTTGATCATGTGACACTCCTGGTCTGGAAGCTCCTGTGGCCTGGTGTACGGCCCTCTCTTTGGCTTGGTTCATGTTCAGAAGCTGCGCTGTCGCCATTTTCTGGTAAAACCTGGCGTAAAATACTCTTCGTATTTGTTCACAACGTTTTCAGTCTGATTTTATATGCATGTAGTGGATTGGTTCACATTCACCTCACTTAGGTCTTGAAGCTGCACTTTGGCTGTGTCATGGAGAAATCTCCCTTGGATACTCCTACTGGGCTAGGACAGAGCTCTTCTCTGAGAATTTTCTTTTCTGTATTATTGATTAGATATTTTTTTTATTGACAATGACCCTCAGGTCTGTTTTTGCTTTAGATGGCCCATTAGATATTTTTCATTGACAACTTCTTCTTTTTAAATCAAAGTTCAGCTCCTAGGTCCTTTCGGAATCTATTCTTAGATTACTTTCTAGCTTGTGTGGTACTATTTGTAGACTGATGCGTGAACTTACTTGTAAAGCTGTTCATGTGTTGCATTACTTTGGGCTTGCTGTTCATCTTCAAAGTGCATGATTTGTAATGTTCACACGCTACTTCTTTCTCAAGATGAGTCTGAACGCTTCTTGCAGTTTCGTGTCTACAGCTTATAATTATGGTTTGGACCGCAACTACCGCAACTCAAATGTCTCTCCCATTCACTGATACGTGTATTCTTGTTTTTATCAAGGTCTGCTCAGTTCTTGGGTTCACCCATGCAGGGTCTGTGTATCCCAGTATTCGTCCACAGCTGTGTTGGTAACTATTGGTGCGGAGTATGTGCATCTATGCTAACTTAGTGTTGCCTAACCGAGCGTGGTAGTTTCATTGATCAGTGATCCGATGAGAAGGCAGTGTTGCATGCTTGTGTCTTGTACACCTGTGTTGGTTACTACTACTACTACTACTGGTGTGGAGTATGTATGCGTGTGTCTTGTACACCTGTGTTGGTTACTACTCACTGGTGTGCAGTATGTATACTACAACAATGTGTGTTGTTGCCTAACTGAGCATGGTAGCATGGTAGCATTTTAGCATGTAGTATGGTAGTGATTGGTGTTTTTTGAGTGGTAGACCTGCCAATAATTATGGCTGTGTGGCAACTGTGTGTATGCTGACATCTTCTTCTGCTCCGGTTTTCTCATCCAGGAGTGGGCCCTCTTTTGCTGCTCTTCCATTCATGCAGCAACAATCACTGTCTTAGCCTGTCCATGCCAGACACGCAGGAGAGAAGCGAGAGAGAGAGAGAGAGAGAAGGCCGGCGACTACCAGTGCTGAGAAAGACTTCAGGTACCCAGGCTGTTTAACAGGTGCTAATTTATTTGAAGCAAAAGGCAGAAGGAAAAATGGTGTTTGTAGTGTCCTCACTCTGTTAAAACCATGTCGTTGTAGGGTTTGTTTGACTCCTTGGTTAAAACCGGGATGGACACCTTGTTGTTTTTGTAAGGCCTGTATGAAATTGTAGCATGCAAGTGTGACCACAGCAGGCACCAGGGAATTGTAATAAACTTTGTTCATCGAAAGAAGACGTGAATCGGAAAGCTCGAGCGGCTATTGATGAAAGTAAGTTGAAAGCTATCAAATCACGTAGCGGTTACCATGGAAACCGCAATGGGATCCGTGGGAGAATGCATTGCTCGTACTGAACACAATCTTTTGTAATCAGATCAAACGAATACATGTACTGTTCTGTACTGTAATCCGCTTAAAATTATGTAAAAGTTATATTACGGTTTCTTAGCAATAGAAAACAGTGCGTCATGTTCATGTTTTAGTCATGATACATGCTACCTGTACATCAACATACTATTCTTTCCGGCATGAAAAATTATAGTCACTCTAGATTCTTGTGCTAATCTGTTTCCAGTGCGAGAAGTTTATTCGGTTGAGATACGTGATGCTTAAAGGAGTCTACACGAAAACTGTGTCAAACGACCTACTGCCCGATACAATATCTAGACATAGGCAGAGCACAATTTCATGGGCATTGCAGTGCTAATATACATAATAACGCACGAGCATGAGTGGCATGTTAGCATTGAGCAGTTAACATGTTTGTAATGGCTACATACATCAGTCTCGGCTAGCTAACCATTTTAAAGGGTTAAATGCTCGGCAGTGGAGTGGGTATTTGTCATCAGCGTAGGTGACCTGACTGTTTCGGTGGAGACAGCCAGCCAACCGCCTTGGAGCGCACACGGGCTACGCTACTGGCAAACAACAAGTCTCTCTATTGACACTCGCCGACACGGGACTAGAAAGAGTATCGGCAACAGCAGCAGCAGCAGCATGCTATGACTGCGGCGTTACACGCAGATCAGTACGTACATGTATATTACAAGTATTCACGGTACCAGCGAGTACGTATGTTTGTATTCACGGTACCAGCGAGTACGTATGTTTGTATTCACGGTACCAGCGGGTCTCTCTCACTCCGTCTGCTGCTGGCCGGTGAGTGCCGCGTGCTGTCCGTGAATTTCCGACTGTCTCCCGTTGAGCTATCTCCAGCTGATTCGCCCGAGAAGAAGTTATAGCGGCGGCCAGTAGTCTTCTTTAGACGCCACAGGATGAACACAGCCGCGACTATAAACAGGAGAACAATGAGGCCAAGGATGATGCTGGAAATTGCCGAAGGCTCCAGGGACGACTGCTTCTCCGGGGTCGACGTTTCCGCCGGTGTTGTCGGAATGAACACCTCTGTATCGCGCGCACGCACGCACACACACACACACACACACACACACACACACACACACACACACACACCGTGACACACACACCACAAACACACACACACACCACCACAAACACACACACACACACACCACATACACACAAACACCCACACACACACACACACACATTCATGCACACACGAAAAGCAAACGGCACGCTCAACACACATCAGCAAACCATTGCATGTCAGTAATTTCATACATGAAAACGATGCATCGGTGCAGCCATAGCTGAAACTTCCTGTCCTGCTCAAGCTTGCCTCATACATGTACGTGTACACATATGAAAGCAGCAGCGTGCACTCGCTCACCTTGACACACGGGCACTGCATTTGTCCATTCACCCAGTGCCGTGCACACCGTAGTACTACTGCCGTTCAGTTGGTAACCATAGTGACATGTGAATGCAACCACCGTGTTGACCTGGTTCTCGTCACCAAGGAGAATTGTGGCATTGCCGTTCTGTGGCGGTTCTAGTACAGGGCAGTGTACTTCAGCTGTTGCAGGTTTGATACCAAGGATGAGGCAAACATAGAGACAGACAGACATTTTAATGTATCTTAGATGAATCCTTAAGCCAGCCACATACTGATATGTTCTCGTCTAGACAATCAAGCTTTTGCTGAGACAAGTAGACGGGCAGGGAAAATTGTTTGACTGATCAATCAGTGTGGACTAACTGAGGCTGAAGTATAGACAAAGAACTCCCTTTTGAGGAACTGATTTCCATGTGTCTTTCGGTGTCCGTTCTAACTCATGTTGAATGTAGAACTTCTGGTGTTCTGTGCCTTCATCGGATCGCTATGTGTTGCTGCAATGAGTAGTAAAGTACTGTTGTTTTACTACTCTGTGCTCCATACGGATACAGTGGATATCATGTCATCTGTAGTCATCGGCCTTGGCACTGGTGCAGTGTAGTGTAGTGCGTGCATGTGTGTGTATGTGTATAATGTGTGTGTATGTGTTCTCAAGGCCACAGGACTTGCAACGCCATGCCAAATATTGTTGACTTTGCGATTTCTCTCTCTTCTCTTCTCTCTTCTTGTCGTTGTCTCCCGCTTCTGGGAGCGGCGTGGCCCGATAGGGTAGCTGTACATAGTAGTAGTAGTAGTGTATGTGTGTGTGTGCAACTGTGCATGTATGTATGGTGTGTGTGTGTATGTGTGTGTGTGTGTGTGTGTGTGTGTATGTGTGTGTGTGTGTGTGTGTGTGTGTATGTGTGTGTGTGTGTGTGTGTGTGTGTGTGTGTGTATGTGTGTGTGTGTGTGTATGTGTGTGTGTATGTGTGTGTGTGTGTGTGTGTGTGTGTGTGTGTGTGTGTGTGTGTGTGTGTGTGTGTGTGTGTGTGTGTGTGTGTGTGCACTGTGTGCGTACATGCACGTGTATGTATGGTATGAGGCTCTGGGTCCTGTGCAGAGACCACTGTGTTACTTACATCCACACGTGGGTGCTGCGTGGTTCCATGTCTTCTCAAGTTGGCACTGCAGCAGATCCTCCCCAGTGATCTTGTATCCAGGGTTGCAGGCAAACTTGGCCACGCTGCGGTACAGAGTTCCGTTGGTGAAGGCGATGAAACCGTTGGTGGGTGCTTGCAGCTCGGGACAGTTCTTGGCTGTAGCAATGGCATACACCAACAGCATGCGTGTTATTTGTACAGCATTTGCAGACCTTCCAAGTTACTGTAGTGCTTGTACTTGTAGACAGTTGCACCAAGTCCCCCGGCCTGCCTGTTTCGTCAAGAATAGAGCTTTTACCGTCTCGTGTGCATTTACACAGAGAAGATGAACTGATGATCTGTGTGCACGGTATTGTGTAGCGTTGAACGGGTTACCAGCTGCTGCTGGCTATCATGAAAACCCCCTGCAGTTACCAGGGTGGACTATATCCATGCACTGTATTGGTTTCAACATCGTTCCTTCGTCCGTTCTAGAAGGACTTTACACCTCCATGTGTGTCACGGTGTGGCGTTAGTACAGTGCTGCTCAATGAAATCCAGTCACGAGAGTCAAGTAATGCCGTGCACCTTTTCGCAGCCCAGTGTTCGCAGGTCTAGGGCTGCGCAACGCCCGGCGCGTACTTGAGAAAGCTCGACTGGATTTCATTGAGCAGTGCTGTACGTTGTAACTTCAGTGAAGAATGCCCCAGATATACAAGTCGTCAGATAAACACACTAAATCATAATTATTTGAAGTAGAATAATTCCGTGAACAACTCCGTTAAGAACAAAGGAATAACATAGCAATCAAGGTAGCACACTTTTGTGAGAAATATCACACCTTGATATTTTAGTGCTGTCATTGTATCCTGCTACTCTACCTTGATTGCTAAATTTCCTTTGTTCATATTTGTTCTTTAGTACAACAACTCCGTTGAAATTAATTTGGTCTCTGAACTGGAATTCGAGTAAAAATGAGAAGGCCAATTGAAAAATGGTTGTTTTACAGAATTCTATGGCTCTTGGATGTACTGTATACTGAAATTTTACCGTGTACATGTGGATGTATGTGACTGACCTTGACACATCACTTCAACAGCTTGCCAGTTGCCAGTCGCCATGCAGGTGGACTTGACTGGAGTTGGCTCACCGCTCGGATGCTCAAAGCCGTCCGCGCACAGGTAAGTTGCGATGGATCCGTACGTGGTGGACTCGACTTCCACTATGCTGTCCGGGTAATGAGATGGCGGGCCGCAATCTTCCACTGTGGTGTGACAGGAGCAGAGCAAGACATGAAGGAGAAACACGTATACTAGAGATAGTTGTTGTTGTTGTTGTTGTTGTTGTTGTTGTTGTTGTTGTTGTTGTTGTTGTTGTTGTTGTTGTTGTTGATGTTGTTGTGGCTGTTGTTGTTTTTGTTGTTGTGGCTGTTGTCGTCTATTTTACTTCAAACCTTCTGAAGGGCAGGGTGCCTACTATGATGTGTCATCTCTGTGCAAACAACAGCCTATAAGCATTGCTGTATCTGTTCGTCAGAAATTCAGAATCAATCAGTTCCATTTCAACCAGTCCCTCAAACTTAGGAATATTATGTGTTGGGATTCCCCACGTGCTAATTTGTATGTGAAGTATGTGAAGTATGTGGGTTACAGTGAGGGCTACTTCCCACCGGCCTGTGTGGATTCACTGAGGAAGCGTGAGTTTCAAAATCTGAAGAAAATGTCGAACGGGCGCTGCTTGGATGACGGCTACACCATAGCTTAGCGGTAGAGCATCGCTGGCCATAAGGGAGAGAGAGTCCTTGGCTCGAGTCCTGGTGGTGACAGTCAAGTTTTCCTTCAGACTTTTCCCGTTTCCAACTCCGTCAAACTTTTAAGAACACCTCCCATTTCAACTTTTTACTTCAAACATTTGAAAAAAATGCAAGTGGATCAATGTCCTTCAAGCAGTAACATCATGATGTATTTTACTACTCCCTGCCTCAGACATTTCGCATGGGTGTTCCAAGCTACTTGCTCCAAAGCTCTTGTCGGTGCCACTAAGCAAGCATACTAGGAGTTGATCATGTTCTACTTGTGCTATGAAGCATCACATGGAGTGAAGTCACCTATACAATGTCAAATGAGGACTCTGAACTTACGATCACATCTGATGTTGTCAACGCTCCACGCCTTGGTGGCCTCACACACAGCGCTCGTCTTGAATGTGGTGTTTCGGTAGCCTTCATGACAGTAATATGCAGCGACGGATTGATACGTGGTGCTTGTGTAATGCACATCACTATTGGCAAGGTTAGGCGGCGCTTCACAATCAACATCTGCAATGCCAAAATCATTGCATAAACATCACATCATTGTATTATTACAGATGTTCCTGTTTCAAGTCTTGCCATTAGTATAATATACTATTCTGTAGGAGTGTGTGTGTGGGGGGGGGGAGGGGGGGGGGGGAGTCTACCTAAACAGGGCTGGTTGCTATGGTTTGGATTATCCGGCTGCACATCAACATACATGCATGTGCACGCGTGCGCGCATGCACACACATATACATGTACACACACACACACACACACACACATACATGTACACACACAGGAGAGAGAGAGAGAGAGAGAGAGAGAGAGAGAGAGAGAGAGAGAGAGAGAGAGAGAGAGAGAGAGAGAGAGAGAGAGAGAGAGAGAGAGAGAGAGAGAGAGAGAGAGAGAGAGAGAGAGAGAGAGAGAGAGAGAGAGAGAGAGAGAGAGAGAGAGAGAGAGAGAGAGAGAGAGAGAGAGAGAGAGAGAGAGAGAGAGAGCGAGAGAGAGAATGAGAGAGAGAGTGAGGGAGATAGAGAGAGTGCATGCATAAGTCAATGGCTGATTGCTGGTCCACTCACCAACACAATTCACATAATTGTCTTGCCATAGCCCAGTTTCATTGCACACTGCCCGGTACGGTTGTTCTGGATTCTCCTGTTCATGGCCCGTTGTACATGTGTACCTTGCAACTGATAAGTAGTCAGATGCGTTGTACTCAACCTGGGTGTTCGGGAACAATGGTGGTGGACCACAGTCCAGGGCTGCAAACATTCAACACAGATATCATATACCACATTGTTCATTGCTACTCGTGCCTGACTTCATTTCACTGATGCAATGGCTTTGGTCCTGAACTCAATACCATAAGTAGTGCTTTTAAAAGTAATTGTGCCAATGCACGGTGATAATCAGTGAGGACTTGATGCAACTTATTGCTAATTCCTTGACCTTCCTTGAGATGTGGATTGGCTGATGCCGGTTCAAATCTCTATGACACGCAAGACTACAGGTGCGGGCACTTGGCTTGCCATTCTTGCATGCAGATCCGGCATACGCATTCAAACATCAAGGTCATACATATACTGTAGATTGTGTGTGGCTTGCACTACAACAGCAACGTGCACACTACGGCACTTCAATGTTGCAAGAACAGGACTGATCGCCATCACAATGTCATGGTGGAGTCGGAGTTGGAACAGAGTCGTGTGCCTTGCCGTACATGTATGCATTGATACATGGGTGAATACAGACATGTATGCATTGATACATGGGTGAATACAGACATGTATGCATTGATACATGGGTGAATACAGACATGTATGCATTGATACATGGGTGAATACAGACATGTATGCATTGATACATGGGTGAATACAGACATGTATGCATTGATACATGGGTGAATACAGACATGGGTGAATACAGACCGGGGACAAGCAAAGCATTGCTAGACCATGTCGGTGCTGCTGGTGGTGCTGGTGTTGTTGTTGGTGGTGGTGGTGGTGGCGGTGGTGCTGCTGGTGGCTGTGATTTTAATGGTGGTGGTAGCAATGATGGGGGGTTGTGGTGGTGGTGGCTGCGAGGTGATCTGGTGCAGGAAGAGGGTACTGTGCTATGTCCTAGTCCTTCATTATGCCTTTACCAGCAACACACAATCACGGGGCCAATCATCACATGACATCATTTCATTACAAATGACATCACGACACTGCACATGACATCACAGCACTGCAAAGCAAAGCCATACCTTCACATATCACGTCCGTATTGTTCCACTGGGCATTGGCCTGACACTGAGTGATGAAGAAGGTTGTCTTGTCTCTGGGACTTTGGTGGCCGAGATCACACGTGTAGTCAGCTATGGCACCATACGTTGTCTGGCTGTAGGATACCTTGCTGAAGGGAATAAGAGGTGGTGCTTCGCAGTTAACAGCTGAGGGGCAGAGAAGAAAAGCATCAGTGTTCAAGCTACTAGTCAGCAAAGTCGTGAATAAGAATTGTAGATTACCGGTACTCGTATATCTCTCTAGTCTTCTCTGCTTATAACGTGCCTACGAACACACTCACGTGTCACTGTGCTATGTAGTCACAAAAAGAAGAAACACCACCTTTTTACTGAAGTTTTGAAATTACAGTACCTTTATTCAGGTTTTATTACCACGCCTGTACTAAACCAACGTCGACTCAGTTCAAAAGTTTGTCACCAAAATTTACGAAACCACAATAGGCATGGTCACCCTACTAAGAGTAGATCATTGTATGATGTGACTATCGTAACGGATGGGACTTTAAGCGGCCATCCGTAAATACCGATATTTATTTCAGGGGCCTCGCACACGGTACGGTCACTACGGTATTGACCGTACCACTTTTTGCCCCAGATACCCCGTGAATCAACAAAATACACTGATCTGGGATCTAAAATTCCAAAATTTTCGGCTCCGCCACCACTCCCCCACAAGTAAATTGTACTTCAGATGGCTGACCGTACCACACTAAAATACCTTCCGACGCCCCTGTATTTAGAAACGAAAACTAGTCGTTTCTCTTCAACCCCCCCCCCCCCTCCCTCAGAAACGAACACATACAAACGATGCATACTGTAGTATCGATATTTTTTCTTTTCTCTTCTGGACGAGCCCACACATACAAACTGTGCATCGATATTTTTCGAGAAACGAACAGGCGCTCAACCCCCTCCCCCCTAAACGACTAGTTTTCGTTTCTAAATAAATATCTATATTTACGGATGACCCCTGCTGCAGGAAGTATGTTTAAAAAACCTCCATGTACTAACCCGTGCAAACAGGAGCAGTTCCATTCCAGACTTTGCTAGCTTGGCAGTGCAGACTGGCAGAGTCGGACAGCAGGTATCCCTCAAGGCAGGTGAACTGTGCCACCGAGAGGTAAGAGAATCCGTTGGTGAATGTCGCCGCTCCATTGCCGGGCGCTTCAATAGCTGGACAGGTTACAGCTACAGCAAGTAGAGCAGGTTTCAAAAACACAGGCTCATTGCTCAAATAGTATGTTTCTTACGTCTTTTGTATTGGCAGTAGATGGCCATGGAGGCTTGTCTGAGCCAGAAAAGGCCAGTAAGGGATTGTAGGGACTGCAGGGCCTGTAGTGAGGAACTGCAGGGCCTGCAGAGACCCGGTGATCAGGTGATCAGCTCAAGTTAAGAATACTGCTAGGAGAGCAGACAAGACAATTTATTCTTGACTACTGACAGAAAAATTGCCTCACTTTCTACTACTTTCTAAGAAAAGTATATTGCGTATATCATCATGGACTTCATTGCCCGATTCAAGCTTATGTGCACATTGACTCCAATGATGACCATTAGAATAACATTAATGCGCAATGGATACTGTGATGCGAAAGAGTTTGAAGGATGAAGACGTGCACTTTGCAGAGCATGGCTAAGGTAAGCCATTGCTGGCTCATAACTTCCCTTCAAGTTCAAGATCACAAGTGTGTGGAGTGAACACCATACACTGATGAATGCCAACGTGAAGTTTTCTGTGATCTTCATGTCACAGGGGGCAGGGCAGGGCAGGGCAGGGCGTCTAGATTCATTCAAGCGCATAACAATCATGCACACCGCGCTGGTCGATGAAGTCTGCCCCCCCCCCCCCCCCCACTGGCTTGAGAAGTGTTCATACGGGTTACTGTATGTTTTAGCAGGAGTATATCAACCCGAACGTGCAACTCTGCATAGTCTACACACTGCATACTCTGTATACTCTGTATTGGTGTCATCGGGTACTAGGGTATGCGTGCTACCCGTACTTGGAGCGGGTATTCGGGTAGGAGTTTGCTCCTGAGAACTCAATTGGGTAGTTGGAGTGTGGTGTGTTCTTGCAACGGTGCATGAAAAAAGCACGGCTACCTGCTTACTGTACACTTTCTACTTAGCGCAAAAGCACACTCACTGTACAAATTATGTCGAAAAATACACGATAGAGTACCGTGCTACCGGATGGAAATACCCGAACTCGTTACCCAATCAAACATCTACCCGCTGCAGCCCTAATACTCTGCACACTCTGTATGCTCCAGACTAACCATTGCATGCCAGCAATGGCACAGACCAGTACTTCTGACCGGTGCACGTGGATGTGTACGGCGCAGTGCCCGACGCCTCGTGGCCTTGGTTGCAACTGTACGTGACCTGCGTGTCTGGCAGAGGTGTGATGGGGCCCGTGACCGCATTTGGAATGTGCGGCGGATTCGGGTTTGGAGCTGCCAACGTGCATAACATACAAACAAGAGAATGCAACAAAAACAATCATGTTTCTTTCTGTCCTTGTTGTAGTAGGCGGTGAGAAACTTTTCAGACTCTCCTCGTCATTAATGGGCACATTCATTATAAGAGGTGATGATTTTTATCACGGGAATATAGCACCGAAGGGCAGCTCAATGTCATGCAATGGACATCAGCTGACATGTCCTACTCTAGGCCACTGCTGCATCCTGTCACAGCATTTTGCCAGAGGCAGCCAAACCTACAGACATCGGTCCTAGACGTTGCGTGCAGGAGCCAACACATATGGTCATGCATACATGTGTTCGAGGAACGCCGCAAAACAATACCAACTATAGGCATGTGTTTGAAGAATGCCGCAGAACTACACTAACTGCAGACATGTGCTATACTAACTGCATACATCACGGCTATACTAACTGCATACACATGTGCTACACAGTCAGACCTCGCTTATCCGGTCCTCTTTTATCCGGATCCCTCGTCATCCGGAAGAAAATCGCTGGTTACCGATTTCCAGCATATGCCATGCATACATACAGTTCGTGTGTTCGATCATCCGCTTCCCTCGCCTATCCGGATATTTTTGTGGAAAACGGATGTGTGCAGTTAAGCAAGGTGTGACTGCATTGACTGCATACATGTGCTCTATTGACTGCATACATGTGCTCTATTGACTGCATACATGTGCTCTATTGACTGCATACATGTGCTCTACTGACTGCATACATGTGCTCTACTGACTGCATACATGTGCTCTACTGACTGCATACATGTGCTCTATTGACTGCATACATGTGCTCTACTGACTGCATACATGTGCTCTACTGACTGCATACATGTGCTCTACTGACTGCATTTGATGGCGTTCAGCAATGGAACACTCACTGGTCTTTGTTTGGCAGAGGAAGCGGAGTGTCGTGATGCATTGTTCCGGGGAGATTTCACAGCCTCGGTACGAGGAACAATTGCCCGCGGGTGCACTCTCCAGCCAGACTTTCCGCTGCTGGCCGACCAGGTTGAAGTGAGCGTACAGGTAGTCGACATACTCCAGAAAGCACATCATGTCACCATCGGCGGCCGGCAATGTAGCGCCGTCGGTAGAGCAGAACGTCAGTGCATTGGCATAAGTGTGGCCACCGGTGTCCCAGCTTGGTAGAGTCTTAGCAATGCTGAACGTATAGCCAGAGCATTCGCAGTGCCATGTTGCTGTCAATGGGGAATAGGAGGAACAGCAAGCATATCCGATCATTGTTTCAGTTAGTATTGGCAGCATTGAAAGTTTTATTAAAAGTAGGGCTGAAACGATCGTGGATTTTCACGTATCGATTACTCTTTAGGTTAACGATCGAGTAATCAATTATAATCGTTAGCAAATAGTGTCATAATTCTGTGCAAACATTACTCAGTTTCCACAAACTATGCCTTCATAAATACCAACAAATCTGCATTAGTGAAAGGGTAGCTCCGAAACATGGCAGTTTTGAAGTCAATTTAACCTCAGAACATGAACCATACCCCTGGAAACTGCATACTCCCAGCGGAAACTGGTTCAAACTTCACAAAACGAGGGTTTACAGTACTTTCTGGACACAAATTTAAAAAGCGCAAAATAATCGTAATCGGTCATCTAAACGATTGCTCGATCGTTAAAGTTATCAAACGAGTACTCGATTATTCGGTATAATCGTTTCAGTCCTAATTAAAAGGGATTCTCTTACGGGCCAGTAGCCCGTATGAGGAAGTTGCTGAATGCCATACATGAATAGTTGCGCTAGGTGGAATCCGACCCACAGTGCAAAGCTGGTACTATGGACCAGTTCCAATTACATCCCTGCATTTGTACCTGCATACGCCAAGCAGCACACCACGTCCAGGGCGTCAAGAGGGCCATGCAAGTTCAGTGCAGCAAATATACACTTTGGGTTGAATTTCACCTTTGCACAACTGTACCCGTATTTCTAAAATTGATCAGTCACAACCATTCCTTGATGTTTGATCGGCGGATAGGAGTTGGACAGTACTAGGGTTTGTTTGTTTGTTTGTTTTGCTTTATTGTATCTCACCAGAAGCACAGGCAAAATCTGCCTTCTCACTGGGCGTACTGCCACAGTTCTCGCAAAATGATGAAGGTAAAAGTGTAGGCAACACTGCTAACCAGGACGTACACTTGTGTGTGTGATGCCGGAAGAGATCACACTACCAATATGCATACACGTGTACGTACATGTAGGCTTAGCATAGCAGCCAGGTACTTTGTTTCCATGGTAACTTTGCTACGGTTACTCGGCTTCCATGGTAACTTTGTTTGAGCAATGAACTTGTCTGACCCCACTGGCATGGTAGAATGGTGTCCTGTTAGTGATAGGTAGACTGGCATGGTAGAACTTGTGGTGTCCTGTTAGTGTTAGGTGCACTGGCATGGTAGAATGGTGTACTGTTAGTGTTAGGTGGACAGCCACCGTTAGTTATCCGCATCAAAACCATTTGCCATTGAACGATGGGCTTTTGTTATACATGTACACCCATCACTTACTCAACAGTTGTCCTGACACTTGCCAAGGAGAGACGACCAACACCACAAGCAGTGCGCAAAGTGCAGTCTGCATCATTGTGCTGATGGTTATGGCACGGCTGCTGCCAATTAACTTCCTGCCAAGTTTTTTTTTCGCAAAAGAGAAAAGTAGAAAGCAGGGAAACAGCAGTATACACACATGCACATCTTGAAATGCCTAAGCCCTTGGTTCTTTTTTGTGGCAGTTAGCAGAACTGCTTCACTGTGTAAAAGGTCATGACCATTAGATCCTACTCTGTGTGCCTGTGAATACCATCAATCTTGGCCTAGCGAAGCCATCTCAAGAGAATGATGTATCGTACTGCTGCAGTGTATCTACGAGTTGTGAAAGACGGGCACAGCCCCCCTCCCCCCCCCCCCCCATAATAGAGGATCTGCTGAGTTTGTATCTCCTGAACAAGTCAAGGTGAGAATGATCACATGTACTGGATTGGTATACATGTACCTCATACCGGTATTAGCGTTACATGTACTTTTAGGCAAGCTGGGGGGGGGGGGGGGGGAGTAATTATTTGGGTACTAGTACATAAATAATTCATAGGCCTGGACTGGATACCAGGGCAGTCGATTCATACAAGGCAGGATTTTAGTATTTTTTCACTTCCTGATTCATATCCTTCGACTCCTACTCACCTGGCCCAGTCGAAGCTAGTCGTGTGTTCGGGCTAACAAGCGGGAGGAGTTCCGGAGGTGGGTACACAGTCACTCCGGCGAATAGAAAACTCCAGCGCACAGACTACGCGTGATTGCTTACTTATCAGAATCTTGATACACCACCAATGCACCATGCAGGATTGAAGGTGACGATACAGGCGGCGAAGGGTTCTTGTACACTTCTGCTTGCGCACAACGAAACCACAAGAACAGTCGCCCTCCTTGGCTACACTCGACAGACTTCTACAGCAGCAAAGAGAAACGGGAGAGAAGGATAAGCCGTGGGTGCTTCCGCCACTGTGAAGCTAGAGCGCTGGATAATCGCTAAATCTGGAAAGTGGACTCGAGTTGTACAAATTTGTTGGGGCTCTTCTTCGGATTGATGTATGTCCAAGTGAGGAGAGCTGGAGCGTAGAGGAGCGTATGCCCATGGCGTCTATGAGACATAATAATATGCAATCGACCAGTCACATGTTTATGGTAGCTCGTGGACATCTAGTCTGTCAGGTGTCATCAGAACTCGTTCTCGAATCATGCTTTCCATCTAGTAGTAGTAGTAGTCTACAACAGACGGTCAGTCCAAAATATTACCAGACGGAATGCTTGTGCTAGCGTCTATGCTTTGATGCGTGGACAACTGGTGAATCTGCCATCCCCATGCATGCACCGTACTAAAAATGGTCATTGATGATTAGCTTCATCCAGTCATGACCAGCCCGGAAGACCCGGGACTATTCAAAGAAACCACGAAGAATCCTCCGAGCGTTTATAGGTCACTTGGCGTGAGCAGTTATGGATCCATTACTAGCGGTTTGACATTATCTCAATGTGCGTGGTTTTATCAACTTGTTTGTTGCTAACCAGGCCCTCAGGCCTCAGGGGGTCGTAGGGTTTGTATGTTGCTGACGGACGCACGAAGTCTTCATCCAATTATCGCTGAAGAACCATTCGCTGCAACACACACACACACACGCGCGCGCACGCACGAAATGCAGTGTTGACTTTGGCGTGAAAGCTATAAATCATGGTAAACTGACACCAGCACTTTGCGCTAGGGAGAGAAGCAAGAGAGTAATCACGTAAGGGCTTAGGGTGAGATATGGCTATGGCACACAGCAGCTCTAAGTTATATTGTTCGACTACAGTACACCCTTTCGGCTGGCTGCACTCCTTACTTCCAGAGATCCTTTCTGTGCGTCGGACCAAAGGTTCAAGCTTGTTCGGCCTTTGTTCAGGAGGACGACAAGCACTAGCCCTTGGCGGATTATGCCGGCATAATGTTTGGCATAATCTTGGGATTTCGTCAAAAAATTATGCTCCGGCATAATAATTATACGGATTCCAACGTGTAAGGTCGGCATAATCTTTCGGTTTAGACAAAAATTATGCTTAGGGCATGGCCGTGTGTGTATGCGTGGTTTCTCAATCCTCTATGTACAGCGTAAATACATAGTGGAACCGAGCATAATTCAGCATATTTGTTGGCATAATTGTGGCATAATCAAAAGCATAATTTGACGATTGGCCAAGCATAGTCCGCCAATGGCTAACAAGCACCACTGTTGCTGTTGGTAGTCAGTGCTCCGTGAATCCGGACACACGTACATGTATACGCATTAAGGGTGTGCGGATAATGCTCGAAAAGGTGGCAGATTCTGCTCGAAAAGCAGTGAAATTGGCAGAACCATACAAACCTTATGGCGGGCAATTCCTCGAATTCTGCTCCATTTCTTTATCCACATACCAAACATGCATGAAACTGACCAGAAAAAGTCCTGAATTTTGCCAATTTTTCTGCCGGCATTATGCCTAATACGCATCGCATAATAATTGTGTGCCGAGGACTATTCCAGCTAGCGTTCCCTTGTTAGTAAGTCATTGGGTACAGGCTACAGACTCTTGTCATTGTGTGTGTACCTATGAATCCTTAGAGCATGTCGACAAGAAAATGGTATCACCATCCTCAGACTGGAGTGTCTGCATCGAAGCAAGAATAGTAACTACTCTTGATGGAAGGCATCGCTGATGTGGAGCAGCCCCACGTCACACTGTGAGTGTGACCGTAGTGTGGTCGCCGTTCATGGTTTCTATAGCCTGACAACGGAAAGGAACATACGCGCGCCTTCTATCGAGAGAGGGGGAGGAAAAGGAGATGGAAAGGAAGAAGAGGAAGGTTTGAGATTTCCCTCCCCCTGACGAGGTTTCCGGAGACCTGTCCCTCACCTTATTGCGTGTACTCGTCGACGGTAGTCGCAGGAGAAGGGCAAAAGCCTGCGACATGCCTTTGCATAGTCTTTAGTTTAGGCTGTGGGCACACACCAGTACCCACAGTACCGCTGATATCAAGACAAGAATACAATAACGTTAGGTACTCTTGCTGATATTATGAGTGATGAGCATGCATGCATGCATGCATGGTCAGCAGCCTCGTGATCGTATCAATATCGTCACATGATCACGTGTTCACGATGTGCGGATGTCGGACACGGGACACCCAGACTGTGAATGGCCCTTCCGCCTTTTTCTGGGAACATTAAATTTTATACAAGTCATGCACACATGTAATAACAAAGCCTGTACGAGTACACTTGTAGATGGATTTCGTGTGTGGAGCCCCAGAGTCGGGAGCTAACCAGCGGCGCGACAGCTGGCAGAAGGGATCTGCCTACTACGAACACTGCACAGCAGTCAGTAGATCTACACCTGGTAAATCTACACTGTAGACATAGTACACAGTACAATACTGACGTTTGATGGCAATCTACAGAACCCAAAGGCCATGCAAACAGAACATGCACGATGCAGACTGCCAATGCCATGCCAGCTCTCCGCCCATTCGCAGATCAAGTAGAATGCCATGACGCGCTCCCTTCTGCTTTCAGCACAGATTGTGTGTACGTGTACTCCATGGATAATCATAGTATTGTTATCGTTGCTGAATACTACTGTGCAGCACTGTGCTACTAGACTAGAGTACTAGAGTACTAGTGATTCTCCAAGGGCAAGGCGGTGAATGAGGATGTGCACCCTAGCGCAGGGCTGCCTAGTTCTGGGCTCTTTCCTTGGCTTCTTGTCCTCCACCGCTAGCCTTGTTTCAGCCAGCGGGCACAGTCAGCCACAATGGAGTCATCGGTCACAATACGTGAGAGCACCATCGTCTGAGGAGCCTCGCATGGACATGGTGTTTGATTACGGGTGGAGGTTTCATTTCGGCCATGCTCCAGACGGTGCGCCGGGCCCCGGCGACACCACGTTCGGCAACATCTCCAACTTTGGCTGCGTCAACGTGGAGCATAATCCGAACAGGCACACACCATGGGACTGCATGCTGGCATGTGCATACAATCCCAACTGCATGGTTTGGCAGCAGGATGACGTCAGACGAGCGTGTTACCATGGAGGCAAGGATGCTCGCTGCTCGCCGCAGTTCGAGCCGTGGCTTCCGCACGGAGGCGAGAGGTATCAGGCGCCGCCTATCCGCACGAACTACTCGTTCGCCGAGCGTTCATTTGACGACGAAAAGTGGCAAATCGTCGACACGCCACACGATTTTGTCGTCAGTGGTGATTTCGTGAACATGACGGACACGCATCATGGATTTCTACCGAGAAATGTTTCCTGGTATCGGAAGCATTTCCACTTGCCGGACGTTTGGAACAGCTCTCACCTTGCCATCCACTTCGAGGGCATATTTCACGTTGCACAAGTATGGCTGAACGGCCAGTACGTGCATATGCACACCTGTGGCTACACTGGCTTCACGGTGCGGATCGACAACGTAACCGGGTTGGAGTTTGGATCGGACAAGACCAATGTGCTGTCCGTGCGTGTTGATGCAACGTTCGGTAGCGGCCACTGGTACGAAGGTGGAGGGATTTATCGACGCGTGCACATAATCGCCAGCAACATGGTCCACTTCGTTGAGGACGGGGTGTTTGTATCACCTGAGATCGCAACTGGCGACACCATCCACGCGTCAGCTGAAATGGAGAACCTTGGCGAAACGCCAATAAAGGTGGTGGTGTCAGTTGCAATACTCACACAGGACGCAAAGGAAAAGTTAGTGCTGAACAGCACCTCGCCTATTGTGGCGCTCACCCCAAACGCAGCAGCGCCACAGCTGGTGTACATTGCAATGGATGGCAGTGCACTGAAGGAACAGCTATGGTCTGTTCGGCATCCTAACACCTTCACATTAGTAGTGCAGTTGAAAGATGCCGACAGCGGCACCGTTCTTGACGTTGTGATCCGTCCCACCGGTTTCCGACAAACCAGCTGGACAAGCGCTAATGGGTTCCAGCTGAACGGCGAGCACATCAAGTTCCGCGGCTTCTCACATCACAACAGCTTCACCGGTGTGGGCGTAGCCATTCCGGACAGAGTTCACCTCTTCCGTGCGCAGGCGTCGCGGGCCGTGGGCGGCAGCTTCTGGCGAATGTCTCACAACCCGTATATGCCGGCACTGTACGACTACCTGGATGCACTGGGCGTGCTAGTATGGGATGAGAATCGTGACTATGGATTGGAGTATGTACATGCTATGCACGACATGGTGAAGCGCGACAGAAACCACCCCAGCATCATTGTGTGGAGTTATTGCAACGAGTTTGAATGCGGACAGATCACCAACGAAACAGGCCTGGCATTCCGCGCTGCTACAAAGGCTCTGGATTCGCAACGCCCGACCACGGCAAACACCAACAAAGCCGGGAACACGGATGGTCTCGACGTTCAGGGCATGTCCCATGCTCAAAACGACTCGTTCGTTGCATATCATACTGAGTACCCAGACATGCCCCTTGTGCTGTCCGAATGCTGCAGCTGCGAGACGCAACGCCTGCGCCGTCTTTCCACTACACCGTGCATGCATGCACAGAACTCCCCGGGGCTACAGCTGCCCTATGTCTCCGGTAGTCTTGGAGTGTGGACTCTATTTGATTACTATGGAGAGAGTCACAATTGGCCATCCGTGACATCGTCATTCGGCAACTTTGACCTTGCCGGTTTCCCAAAGCCGCACGCATACTGGTATCAACTAAACTGGCTTGCGATGATAAGCAACTCGGATGCGGGGAAACCCCCGGTGGACAGCAAAGTGATTACCCGCATTCTGACCATACCGACTCAAGTGTATGGCGGCGTGGCCGTGCTAACATCGGCACACTCAGTGGAAGTGTTCCTCAACAACCAGTCGCTGGGAAAGCAGAAATCGGACGGTACGGGCGAGCCACTTCAGTTCAGCAACAAGCCAGCCTGTAAGTTTTCTCCGCTGCCGAATCTGCACTGCAATAAACTGGACGTGACGGCTGGACCGGCAAATGCAGATCAGTGTGCTGCTGCATGTTGCAATAGGGTTGACTGCGTGATGTGGCAGTTCACGCCGTCCAAGAAGTGCTTCACCGGTGAGGTTGATGACGACTTCTGCGTGCCCATCAAGGCCGACTGGCCCGGTGGCAGGCGTGCGCCGCAGGCCGCGTCCACCATCCAGAACATCACCGCACTCAGCATGGACAGCAGTGGCACAGTGCTGGGACAGCACACGGTGCTGGGAGCCGACCAGGCCAGTGCCGTTCAGCTCACCCTGGACGTGCCCTCGAAGAGCACGGGCACGGGCTCTGCCCTCGTTCTGGACGGGCACGATGCCGCGCTCGTCCGTGCGAGTATCGTGGACAAGAACGGCGTGTTGGTGACCGACTCGAGCGTCAACGTGACATTCAGAGTGGTGTCTGGTCCGGCTCGCCTCATCGGCGTGGGTAACGGCGATAACTATTGCCATCAGAATGCGAAGAGTGATCACGTGCCCGCGTACGGAGGACTGGCACGTGCCCTGTTCCAAGTCACTGTGGATTGTCTCAACCTAGCTACCGCCATGATTGACGTTGACCAGGGCCCTGCAAAGGTAGAAAAGTGTGAAAGCCACATGGAGAGCATAGTTGTGGAGGGGCGAGCAGCCGGATTGACATCGGATCAGCTGAGTATTCCCGTCTCGTCAGATTCCACTGACTTACCCTTGGCAGTCGCCAGGAAGAATGTCCATCTTCCGGAGTACAGTTACTTGACTGATTTTGATGGCTGAGTGGTACAGTCAATGATGCCTCATGCATTTGATCCATATTGCGGTCCGCAGCCATAATTATAATCTGTTACAGTTTAAAAACTAGGCTATGGCCTTCTCTACAGGATACCCATACTAGCTGGACGTGCTCTTCGCCATGCTACTTGTACTGTCGGCACATGCTCGTGTCAGGGACGCTGCAGCACTCTCAAACGATGTAGTACCCATCATTATGTTTCTAGCTTCCAAGTCGTCAAGACAAAAGTACATAGCCCAAACGTGCATGCTGAAGCTGGTTGCACTCAATGGCGTGCTAGCGAAAAGATGCTGTTCTTTTCGCTAGTACTGTATGTCAGTGCAATCAGTACTGTATGTCAGTGACTGACTGTACCTGCCTTTGTTTGAGTCTGGCTACAACTGGATCTCCCTTTTAGGCTGCAAACAGTGCCGTGGAAATCATAGCCATGGTCCATCATTGGCAGATTGACCGGGGGAGTAGGACGACGATTCCACTGGGCCTCAGCTGCCCTGCCATACGCATCTGTGCTTGTGACCAGTTACCCGAATGTGCCTCCTGGCAGCCGTGTGTGGGAGGCCAGTGAGTTCAAGTGCTGTCGGTCAACTTACTTGTCACCACGCTTTGGCCTTCCATTTCCGACTTCTCTCCATGGGTATTCGGTCGCATTCACTCTGAGGAGATGTGCCTTAGGATTAAAGAGTCCCAGAAATTCGACATGTCGGATATCACTGTAGGTGTGTGGATGCTGTACACCAGGGAATGGTTAAAAAAAATTTTTTGGCTCGTAGACCTCTACTCCCTGGTGTACACTTTCATGGTGGTCGCTCGTTGCCGGGAGTTGTATAAACCCGGGTTTCCGGATTTACATGACTAGACGCTCACAGAACTGAAAGACAGTAGGGATGCAATGTCATGTACATTATTATTGTACATTCCTTCAATTACTACTTGTAGTATCCCGGCGACTTTTCGGTCTCAACAGAGTCAGTGCTCCAAGAATGTTCGGAGAGAGTACATCATCCATGTGTTACCATTGTTACGCCCTGCTGATGGCTGTAACCAAGAGTACATGAAAACGGTTTTCGGTGTACTTTTGCTGTAACTCCCAGATTCGAATACTCATACCAAGAGTACATAACCCGGGGTTATGTACTCTTGCTCATACCACGAGTGCATAAACATGTTTATGGACTCTTGCTCATACCAAGAGTACATAATACTCATAGACAATTAATTATTTCAATTCGAAGCTTTGAAATGGCACTGCTAGCATGCTGCAATTGCAACTGGTAGACAGACCTGTATCATGCGGACACCAACTCAGTAACACGTGCTACCAAGAGTGAATAAGGCCCCATGCCCAAGGAGCATATTTTTGGTACTACAGTGGTCCCTCTATAATCCGGCACCATTTGTGCCACGAAAATCTGCTGGATTAGGGAGGGTGCTGGATTAACAAATCTGATTTACTGCTGCAATGTGCATGAAGAGGACATTTGGCTACTGAAAATTGTGCTGGTTTATAGAGGGTGCTGGATTATAAAGTGCCGGATTAGAGAGGGACGACTGTACTACGAGGTGGCGTTGCTAAATGCTGCGAGGACACCTAACCAAGACGGTATGACCCGCACGCGCGCACCAGCTAGCATAGCTAGCAGTGTCTGAGAATTTAGACCGGGGAAGGTATTATAATGTACCGGTACATGTATGACGCCCTGATTTATTTTTCGCTATATATATTTTTCAATCGTTTTTGTTTCTCTTCTTCTCCCGATTTTCTGATGCGTGAAGTAGGCGCGGATGCCGAGACCATTGGTCGGCGGAGCCTGCAGCACCTCATCACCACCGCTGCGTTGCATTTGCAGCCCCATTCAGTCAATGTCTTGTTAGTCTGTTGTTTTGTCATTTCCTGCTTCTTTCTTCTTTTACGAATTGGGTGCGTGGTTTCAAGTAAAAAAAAAAAAAAAAAAAAAAAAAAAAATTTAGACCATTTATGGCGAGAGTCCATAATTTATCGACTCTTGAGTTTGTTCGTAGATCTACGTACTGGCGGAGTGCTGCACTACTCGATATACTCGGAGATCTACTCACTACGACTCGTACTGTATACTGTACTGGTTCAACAGGGTTCACGATACCATACTACATCATGTACACATAGTACAGTGGTACATGACACTCTGTAGTAACATACTGGCCATGTGGCGGCCTCATGAGCTCAACAAAGAGAGCGAACAACAGTCAACAGTCAACAGACGCCAATTTTTGTTTTTGTACGTGGGGCTGGTCGTCTCCGCTCTCTTTGGCCCTTGACTGCCTGGGGCGCCGAAAACAATTTTGTTCCGGGTAGCTGACGCGGTTCCGCAAACTGGATGGTACATGGTGTGCAGTGGAGATATCTTTCAGGTAAGGACCCTGTTCAAGTAATTAGTTGTTGTGCAGTTTATGTCGTCTATTCCATATTTGTAATTGTCATCTTTCGCTCTCAATTTGGCTGAAGTTCTGAGTTCGATTTGGATAGTTCGAGCCATAGGCGCCACAAATGCAGTGCCTCATGAACGGGTCATGCAAACTCATGGTCCGATCGATTGGTATCACTTTCACATACAGTACAGGGATATTCCCTCCGGATATGAACCTGACATTCATACCGGATACGGACACGTTTCTAAAGCATTTTCAGTGATTTCAGTGTAATGTTTCATGAGAAGTATTAAATGCTGGTAGTGCATGTTCGTATGACTATGAGCATATGCCCAACATATGGTCCATGCTGCATAGGTACGTTGTATTCATGATGGGATCAGTATGAACTGGTGGAGTGATTTTAAACTTGAAGTTCATCATGATACGTTTGCTTGTACTGTCAGGGCCGTTGGAGGCCGTTGGCGAGTGGTACGGCCGGGGGGCCGCACGGTGGGTGTCCCTCGGCGGTTGTGAAGGGGGCAGAGCCCCGTGCGGGGGTGGAACCCCCGTGTTAGAAAAAATTGGGATTCCATGCAATAGAAAACACCCCTGATGCATATCTTGAACATTGGACAGCAAATCCAGCATTCCGCAACTTCCGCCAAAATACCCATGAATCGTGCCACAGCATAGATAGCACTTTTTTATTGCTTTTCTGAGACGCGGTTTCACGTTGACCACCGGTCGATAGAAGTGGTACGGCCATGGTTGTACCAGTCGTACCGACTCCAACGGCCCGGACTGTACCAAGAGCACATAACCCGGCAAAGAGTGTGCAACTCCTATCTCGAGTAGCGATGGGTTCAAGCATGGTGGGATTTTTATTGCGCCATCATTCTTTGGCAGTATGATCAAGTGCGTATGCTTTCCTGCACGCGCGCCTGTCCTGTAGATACGGTATCAGTTCCGACTAGGTTCAGAACACGTGGATCCACTGTCCGTTTTCCTGCTCCGGCTACCCGCGTAGCTGTGATGTACACGTTCCTGGCCTGGTACTTTGCATGTTAGGCCACACGTTTTTATTTCTATGTTTCTCGTCACCTGAAAATCTAAAAACGTATGCGAGGTGGAAAAAAATAAAAAATGATCGAAAAATAAAAAAAGTTTATTTGACCTTTGTTCACACTAAAATCCACCAATACACCATGCGAAATAGCATCCATAGTTAGCAACTAGTATGTGGTACGTAGGAGCTTCTGTCACAATCTGTGCATGTGCAGCTAGATTCCGCACAAAAAAATGCCGTCCTTGCATCATGTGTCGCGCAGGCCAGGCCACATTATGTACATGTGCATGAGTGTGCTGGTCCCCACATGCACAGTCAGAGCAGCACAGTTTTTTCTTTTTTTCTTCCAGACTCCTGAATCGTATGCGCGCGGGTGACGAGAAACATAGAAATAAAAACGTGTGGCCTTATGTACAGCTTGCACAACTGGCCAATCGCAGGTGTTGAGCTTGGGCCAGCTAGCTTTTGCCACGCTATGTCAGTATGTGCGATACAGGCCGTTTATACCAGTTGCACCCAGCTATGTGCACACCTCCCTTGGCACTCTGAGAAATGAAGTCGCTTTGCTGACTTTCTTCTCGTTCTGGCATTTCACAAGCTAACATTGCTCTAGGTCGTCACCTATCTCATCGTTTAACCCCCCCCCCCCGGGCATGTGCTACACTGCATGAGTTTGCTATGGGGTCTAACAACGGCAAAATATCACATCGCGTAGTGTCCACATTATATATGTATATTCCCAGCCTGTGTTAGGGAGCAGTGTAGTAGTAAAAATAGCACTCCCTGGCAGGAACCCACTCAGCTGTGTGCATGTCATCAAGGCATGAACATGATCATGGCAGAAATATCTGCACTGCGTGTATGCCGACCGTTGCTGTACACGGTACGGAACATACTTGGAACGTGTGATTAGAGTTTCCGGCGTCGAAGACCCTATATGCAATGGTGCACACTGTTGGGGGAAAGTATACTCTTGATAATTATTGTGATTATACGGGTGCGTGCGCTTGTCTTCGTGTTTCAGGCACATGATTGTCCATTAATACACCGACTGATTCTCTTAGACACCGGAAGTGACTACGGCAACGGTAGCAACTATGGAGAAGCTCTCTCCACGTACTAGCTGTGATCTTCAAGGAGATGATATTGGCATTGGAACGCCAGATAGAAGACGGAGTCTGTGCTCGCGTAAATCATCCGGACTGCCGGCACCTGGCAGCCCGTCGATGCAGCGGACTGCGCAGGTGGGTTAACGGGCATTGTTCAAGTCAAGAACACCTGTGTGTGTGTCCGTGTGTGTGTGTGTGTGTGTGCGTATGTGTGCGTGCGGTTGGGTGTGCGTGTGTTTGTACGATGGCTACACCAGGTAGGGAATTGCTCCAGTACTGGGTACTGTCTGTCGGGTAGCACTGGTACTCTGGCAATGCTAAATCAAGTACAGACTCTGCAGACAAAGTCTTACACCGCAATGAGCATATCTGCTGTGCCCAAGCACACGTGCCAGGGAAGCAGAGATCTCAACTTCTACCTGACCTGACTAACAGATTTCCAGGCGCCCAGACTGCTTGACTATCCGACGATAGCCCAAGTATGATCCGGATTTGTTATACTGTAAAGTACCATCAGAACCCTCCGTTTTGCGAGAGCGCCCACCTTGATTTGCAGCCAGTGAAAGGAATATCTTGGCCGAGTAGTCGGCGAATACACACATTTAATGGTCTGTGTTTACTAGGATCAGCCATAGCCCTGCATCTGCTCATTGTTTGTGTGGACCTCACTACCACTTGAAGTTGAAGTGAGTACTGATTTACAACGCTATTTCCAACTTGTGTGCAATGTATGTGCCGTATGACCTACAGATAGGACTCACTCATCCGCCCCACCTTCAGGACGCGATCATAAAGGGTTCCAGTTGGTGGGGCGGTCTTGTACTCCAGTAGTACTTTATGGTAATAGGGAATTCTTGGATTTGCCGAAGATTCACTTTTCCCGCCCCTAACTCTCTACTCTGGTGCTTTTCATCTGTCCCTATTCTATGTCTGTAGTCAGCAAACCTTTTAGCACAGCGTCTTGCCGATGCCTCGCACCTACTCGGCTCCATAAAGGATGGTATCAACACATTTGATCGGCAAATGGGAAATCTGAACAATGCACTTATCGACGCACGGAGTCAAATGGACAAGTCACTTCAGATAAGCAGAGATATCTCGACAAAGCTCTCCCCTTGCCGTCACGTGATGCTATCTGCCAGATCATCGTAAGTGTGTGCCAGTGTGTATGTGTGACGGCAAGAGTACATAACCCCAAGAGTGTGCAACTGCCTGCACAACCTCTATGCTGTGCTGCGACGGCAGAACTTCACATCACGTGACATGGTTCAAAAGGTTATGCTGGCAAACAGTGCAAAGTGACCACAAGAGAGTTGTTTGTTTGTTTGTTGTTTGTATTATTTATTTAGAGTGGGAAGTCCAAAACAGGCCCTAGCCTAATAACAATGGTCCCACTAGTGAGGGAATGCTGTATATCTGTGCATAAGCCTAGCGGATCAGTGAGTGTAACAGCAACTAGTAGGGAAAGAAAAAGAGAGAAGAAAAACAACTCAAAACAGGAGTTGCGACTTGCATAGGGAGTTGTACCCAAAGCTGGGCTGCGTACAACCCAGTATCTATCATGCACAGAGTGCACGGGTTCATCACGTGATGTGAAGTTCTGCCGTCGCAGACCCCATAGCTGGAGTTGCACACTCTTGGGGTTATGTTCTCTTGGTGACCGGGGGGGGCATTTGTACCAAGAGGACATAATCGAGAGCAGGCGGGCGACTCGGTCAGTGATATGAGAAAGCACAACTCCCAGTTATATGATTAATGTACAGTTAAAACTGATGTCATGGATCGTGTTGGCGATGTCGTAGATTACTAGTACATTGATGCTGTGCAATAACATGATCATGGATTTAGGGCCTTTGTGGCTTTCATGAGCTGGTGTGATGCTCAATATATTTCTGCCTATTGACTATTGCAAGCACAGGAACATTTAAACAAAGTACAACTCAGTTTGAGTTCTGTGTTAGAAAGTGAAGACACTTCCCCGGGTATATCAAAAGTAGCACTGTGTGAGCCGTGGAAGTCGCCTACTGTTGTTTTTGTCATGACCGGGGAGTGGGCCAGACATACTATCAGGATTCTACGATTCCAGGTTCTTTACGGAAATATACCAGGAGTCCAGATACCCATTCCTCACCCTCACCACACAAGAAGACCAAAGCTTCACTCCAGGACCAAGTTCCAAGCAACAGAGAAGCAACAAGAACAACAACAACAACCCATCGACGCAAAGCATCGACCTATATACTGCTATAATTATAGTAGCGTGCAAGCTGAAGGAGCGAAGCGAGCGAGCAGCAAGCCAGCAAAGCATGAATAGTGATAGGTTTCCCAACGCTATTCATAGACGAGACACATCGACGCCACGGCAAACACTTGACAAAGATACATGTAGGAGCAGACGGAATACAATACAGATAGAAACACACGGACACGACATATCCCCCGCCTACGAACATGTTACGTCCTCGTAACAGAAGAAAAGTAACGGCACTGAAAAAGAAAGCAAAATAATAAAACTCTTGAAAACTTGAAAGGAAGGAACCAACCTCTTCCGACCCAAGAACCAAAGAAAACGTAATGCGCCAGTCTTGCACAGACTCTCCGCCACAGCAGTGTTAGAAGAATAGGTTATGCCGTTACAACTACGTTCGAACAAGCTATTGGTCAGCCTGCAGGGATTGCTTCTGTGTTACTATCATTATGAACTATTATAATAAGACAAATCAAGACTAGACGGGTGACAAGACCAGAAACGTGTCCAGGAACTGGTAACTGACCCGAACTAACTTCACTTGAAATCCGCGGCTCCCGTTTGCGTGTTGCCTTCATCTTGACTTCCTCGATGTACCTCCTCTCCAGCTCTGGCTACGTCCAGCAGTTTATCGTCATGCTCCGGGACGGGCGCGTTGGTGATGGTGACCAACCGCGGTCGCCAGGGTGCAGTTTATCGTCGTACCCAGGACGGGCGCGTTGGTGATGGTGACCAACCGCGGTCGCCAGGGTGCAGTTTATCGTCGTACCCAGGACGGACGCGTTGGTGATGGTGGCGATGGCTATTGCCAAGTATTGGCAGCGCTCCCTCTCGCTGCCGAGGGTTCGGAATGTTAGTGGCACTGGACATCCTGGCGTGGTCGCCAAATGTCATGACCGGGGAGTGGGCCAGACATACTATCAGGATTCTACGATTCCAGGTTCTTTACGGAAATATACCAGGAGTCCAGATACCCATTCCTCACCCTCACCACACAAGAAGACCAAAGCTTCACTCCAGGACCAAGTTCCAAGCAACAGAGAAGCAACAAGAACAACAACAACAACCCATCGACGCAAAGCATCGACCTATATACTGCTATAATTATAGTAGCGTGCAAGCTGAAGGAGCGAAGCGAGCGAGCAGCAAGCCAGCAAAGCATGAATAGTGATAGGTTTCCCAACGCTATTCATAGACGAGACACATCGACGCCACGGCAAACACTTGACAAAGATACATGTAGGAGCAGACGGAATACAATACAGATAGAAACACACGGACACGACATTTTGACATTCCAGTGTGGAATGCTTTTCCAATTAGGTTCCTGAACTCCGCAAAAGTGGACCGCGACAAAGCCAATTTTCAGGTCGAGGATTATTTTGATTTGGTTTAGCGTCGATAAATGTAAAGGCATGCTGGTGTGAAACCCATTTCCGGCCAATTTGGATTTGGTTTTTGAGCCTAATATAGCCTGAATCAGATTTGAAAAGGCGCACTGCTCGATTATTTCAGATTAAGCTGTATAGCATCAGCTTGCTGTTAGTACAGGTTTTTGTTGAAATCAGCCACAGCTGGGTTCTAACCAGGGAGTAGTAACATGCTGGTATTTTACCACTCTCCGGTTGTAATTGCACCTTGCACTTAACTGTTATTGTCTGTGCAACAGTGCATCTTGACCAAGCGTGAGTGAATTACAACGGAGCACAGTGCTCCACTGTCATCATGACCAAGCATGACTGAAATGCGATGGAACACAGTACTCCGCTGTCATCTTGACCAAGCGTGATTGAAATGCGACTGAGTGCAGTGCTTTGCTGTCTGCTGCTCTGACATGAGAAAAGATAACCTGATGTAGCAGTGGCTGAAGCCAACCTTCGCTGCCCTCAGCAAAATATGCCGGACGATTTTCTTGTGCCGCACTAACCACTTACTGTATATTTCGTGATTATTTTTTTCATGTTTATGGCACCTGAGTGCCATGGAGCTCTGTCTTGATGAAACAGACATAACCCCCTCCCCTTGTCTTCTTTAGTACATCCAACTTCAAATACCATTTTTCAATTCTACTCTATTCTGAACTCTTCAGCTGCGATTGTTCTATTTTCCATGACAGAACTTGATCATTTCTCTAGGAAGATGTGTATTGACAAGTACAAATGATTACAACATACCGCTGAGTTTTTCTGCTATAGTATTTATTTTAGCTCATTTCTCGAACTAGCTTGTTAGGCCATATTAGATTCATGCTTGCTTTGGATGCTTCTGGCTAGTGATCCCAGTTGGCCCTGTTTGATCCGAATGGATTTCTGGTCATGGTATTGCATGGTTGGGGATGAGAGGCAGCGAGTACCTGGTCTTCACTGGGGAACTCACTGCCAGGTATGCAAAGTAAAGTGTCCTGCCTGACATTGCAATCATATAAACACAGGAAATTGAGATTGACTCTTGTACAGTATACCGGTACTCTGTCTTGTAGACTTTATATGCGCTGTGCGAAATCATAATTATACCGGTAAAAAAGAAGTACACGACACAAGAGCGTAATCTCCCAGGGTGTGAAATGGCTGAATATTGGCCTCGGACAGCAAACATTCACCTCATGGCGTTCCTGATACGTATAATGTGTCTTACGGCGTGCAGAGAAGGCCAGCTATTGTTTGTGTAGTGGATAGGTGCACTGATCATGTTGATGACTTGCATGCACATAGACTGGCTAAGTAAGTGTGTTTCTGGCAGTGAGTGCTATTCGTACTGCTCCACTGGCAGCTAGAAGCAGGCTGGGAGCGTGCAACGTGAACACTGCACCACGAGATGTGAGTTATTGCCATCAGTGGTATTGTATGACCCCACTATAACAAGCTCATGCAGTGCTGCACACTCCTGGGTGTTGCACATACTCTGACACCGGTGTGTTTGCATCCTAGGGAAAAAGGAAAGAACAAGCAACTTTACAATGTAAATAGTTGCCAGTTTCATCAATGTATGGAAGCAAAACCTGTTAATTGAACATACATGCCTAAGCATTCTTCAAGTATTAGTTGAAATTACATAATCACGTACATGTCTAAACTAGCTTTAAAAGTAGGGCGTCCCACATTAACGCTCACTTTACATTAACGTTAGCGCTTGTGAGTATACTGTTTTTTTTAGCACTGGTTGGCACATTGAAACACAGTCATAAATAGCTGGCTGGCTGTGACATGTACATGTACACTATTTGCAGTGCAGAATTGCTTCACCAAAACTTCAATCTACTGGTAATTGCAAGGCGTACGCTGAGGCCTAATGCGCAACTGTGCTCCTTGTGATCTCAAAGCTGTCGAGCTCGCGGTCGTCTGCGCTCGATGTCAGCTGGAACTGCAAGACCTTCGGCGTGGCACGGATTTTCAACCAGCTCCTCTCGAAGTAGTCGCTGTGGTGTGCTCTCCACGGGACCAACTCGGACGGCTCGAACGATGGATCAATGCTCTCCTTGCAACCGGCCGCACCGTCCACTATGTAGACGGGAGCCTTGGGATCCACGTAGTCCTTGGCGGTGGCCGTCAGGTTGTAAACCGGGTACGATCGCTCGTACTGGTGATTATGTCCGCTGATGTAGACGTCGACTCGGTACAGGTTCAGCAGGTCTTCGATGTAGCCGCGGAATACTGGCGCCTCCTCCACGCATCTTTTCAGCAGCACTAGATCAGAGCAGTAGAGTGGCCGATGGCCAATGACGATGATCCATGGCACGTTCTCTCGATTGGCGTGTGCCCGCTGCAAGTCTTTCACCATCCAGCCGTGCTGCGCGCTGCCATTGCTGAAGTCGTGCTCGGTGGAGAACATCAGGAAGTGTATGCCCATGTAGTCGAACGAATGATAGAACGGCGAGCCACTGATGTCTGGCATGCGCAGCCAATTGAGATAGCCAGCGAAAGCAAACTGCGCCTCGTGATTTCCAGGACACGTCATGTAGGGAACGTATGCCGCGAAGTGCGAAACTTCGTTAAAGTAATCCTGCCAGATGTAGGCGTTGTTGGCAGATGGATCGTAGTCATTAGCGTACGAGATGTCTCCTCCATGCACGACCGCCTGCACGTTGCCTTGTTTCACAGCCTTGCTTATGGATGACACCGTGTCTTCGGAATGTTTAACACCCATGTCGCAGATAACACCAATCCAAGGCTGAGAGGAGTTGGCCGAGGTGGTGACGTTTTCTGCCTGTATGGTGAAGTTGAAGATGTCGCTCCATGCTGCATCACTACCGCACTGGTAGTACACTCTTGAGCCAGGACTTCTCGGTATGCTGACCATCGTGACCTCGTGCAGTGAGCCAGTGAAGTTTCCAGCCGTGTACGTGTAAGTAAGGCCGCCTGATGTCAAATGAAGCTGATCTGGAGCTAGGCCATAGCGACACACTGCACTGCCATTCAAACTAGGAGACCAACGCCTGCCGGTTGCCCAAATGCAGCGAACTGACCCCATTACTACGCCTCCACCACCAAACGACAAGTGCAAGCCGTAGGGAGTATCTACCGTTGAAATACCGTGCCCGGCGTCGTTCCTCATGCTAAAACATGTTGGTAACGTTAGTCCAAGCATGACGAGAACGAGAACCAAGCGATATGTCCCGGGCACATCCATTTCGGTGCAGAGGAGGAGCAGATTCTTCAAGATTGCACTTACTGCAATTACTGCTTCATCAACAGGTACGTCGTTTCCACGTCGTCCCGTCGATGCCTCAAAACTAGAGCCAGTGGTCGGCGGTCAGTGTTGAATGAAAGTTGGGACTGTCGACTACCAAGTAACTACCAGACTAGTCATGTAACTAATACTTGAAAAGGCTAGGGTGACATCGCGTTGACGTTGCCCCTTGCGCGTGATCAACCTGCCTCGCCTACGCCTCCTTTTTTTGCAGCGACTATGCAACTCGTGCCGGGTCGAGTTTGAAGGTCAACGGGGCCTGCTGTAGCCGTGTAGAGATTTTCAGCCTAACAAAGTTGGAACTGTGACTCCAAATCACACATACAAGGGCCGTGTATCTGTAGTCTAGAGTTACGATTACTTTAGCTGTACGACGAAAGAGAGGTAAAGAAAGACAAACTACCTTCGCCGGAGCCCAAGGATTTACTGGCCCGAACTAACTTGTTGAGGGTCCTAGCCAGCAAGGATTATTATATCAGGCATACCGGTATGAATGCATTGCATACTTACTAGTAGTACAGAGGCAATGCGTATGTGCAAGAGTACATAACCCCACTCCCCAGTACTGGCAGTAGGGCTTATGGAGTTAGGCAGGTAGGGGGTATGTACTCTTGGTATGTCACTAAGTATGTGTCATAATTATTACTCAAGTCTGTGGACAGCAAATGTTTCGCTCTGTTAGAGCTCATCAGCACAGCTCAGAGAACCGAAGCGCAGCTCTTCGCAATGAAATACGTTTCCGTGAAGCAAAGCATTTTTATAAAGAGCTGCAAACCCCGCCAAGAGTGCTCGAAATGCTCCAAGAACAGTTGAGAGCATCGCTGGCTACAAGCGAGGGTCCCTGGTTCGAGTCCTGGTGGTGACAGTCAATTTTTTCTTCAGACTTTTCCCGTTTGCCTCTTTCCCTCAAACCAGTTATTGTTACCGGTATACCATGGTATACAGTTCGAAGTACACAATGATGATAAATGCAGGCAAAAGTCCATAAAACCAGTCACCGTTTATGGAAAACCCCATAGAACTGGGTGCTTTGCGCTGTTCTATCAGTATCACCTCTCTGCTGCAACAGTATCATTGTTCCTTCCCTCTTGCCTGTACATCACACTCCGATCACCTGCAGAGAAGCTCAAAAATATACTCGTAGCATTTTGTCTTCGAGAAAACTAAGATTTAGGTACCGTAATACTTGTTCCCATATAAAGTGGTAGCGGGTTACTAACAGGCACCCGCACATGTAGCTGCTAAGTCACTGCACTTTTTCAAAGTGTGCCACAGTTTTCGTGTCTTGCTCATACAGACATACTGATGTGTCACACAATCATGTACATTATTAGTCATTAGGGTGCAGCGGCTGTCCTGACAGTAGAAACATATCTTGCAGTATGCTCTTGCGGTATGCCGTAGGCTGGCTGAGCAGCAGGAGAAAACCTTGGATAGACGCTACCGTTCTGGTGTTCTTCATCTGTTTTTGGCCTTTGACCACTGACATCTATGTCTGTATTACTTCAAAGGCTACAAAAAAAAAAGTAGTCTGTACGCTTTTCGGATGTTCTGTGATCACAGTCTCGGGCAGGAGTGGAGTTAGCATGCCCCCAGGTAGTCTGCTTGCTCTCACAGTCTGAGCCTGACTATGGCAAGTAGATGGTGCACACGGTGCATAAGACACTCTCCTCTTCTTCACTCCCATCTGCCTGCCAGCAGACAGGCAACATGAATGCGGTTATAGAATAGTCCCACAAGGAAACCTGTGTGTGTCATTATACGGAGTGTGAGTATGCAATACAGTACAGTGCCCTCTAAGTCTAACCAGGATGTGCAACTGGTGAAAATACTAAAGTAAATCCTGCATAAATTTCATGAATGCCAAAATGGAAGAAAAAAATCTTTGTGCATCTCAATCAGGATTTTGGAAGAACTAACACAGAACGACTTACGTCCCTGCACTTGGTTTTGCAGTATGAATCTATAGGAGCGGAAATATCGAGCTGAAAAATAATTCCGGTGATGCTCGGCAACACTCAGTCATTTCTATCTCCGCATGCCTTTAGCAGTGGTTTGTGCTGCAGCACCTCTGCCAGCCATGGCTAGTGGGTTGTAACGTTGCTGGCCGGCAGGCTGGGCAGAGCTCACAGGCGATGTGCTTCTGTACTTGCTGCTGCTGGTGCCGGGAGCCATGCCAGGTGATTTGAATGCCGATTGATACTTTGATGCTGCGCTGTCAAACTGACCGAATCCCCGGTCCACTTTCTTGCTTGTTGTACCCTGGTTCATAGAAGACCATAAGACACTGCAGCGGTGAGTGTCAAGAAAAGAGGAAGCTGAATGGCTGGAATGGCACGCTGGCATATTAACGTTATACAGTGGAACCACAATGTAAGTTCAATGTACCCAGCCGGGGAGCGAGAAGAAAAAAAATACTTCGGACACACTGGTACTTTATATGTCAGTCACAGCTCAACTCGCGGACCACTGCACATGCATACATAACAGTCACTATGTGGAGTCAGTCACAGCTCAACTCACACATCAGTCCCCCCCCCCTCCCTCAACATGGTTTATAATTTCTTACCGCAGATGCTGGTCGCTGTATCCCACGGCGTTTCTTTCCGGCAGCCGTAGCTGTCTTGTTAGCTTGCATGCTAGACTCTTTCAACAACCCAGCTACCAATGATTTCATCATGAAGCCAGGCATCAACAGCGGGTTGTACGTCTCCAGGACTTCAAGCTGCAAGAGCACCACAACAGGTCGAGCAGAACTGATTCCAACCATGTTATGACAATGTATCCGACGGTATGCTGAGAGTAGGGAAGAGATGCACCATGTACCAATGTATTCCTCATGGTGGTATGGCAAAACTGAAGAGCAATCTCCTGAACCTAAATTTGAATGCATGTCTGGTCTAACGTTAGTTGAAAAGCTCCAGCACGCAGCAGCTGCAACTCGTGGAGACAACAATTACAGCATCACACTAGCATCGGTTAAGCCCATTGTCCCTTATTTATTAGACAACGGTATGATAATGCATTTGTGGTTTACCTTCTGTAAGCTGTTCTTGACAAGCTCCGAATCTTCAGTCGGTACTGATGGTAATGTCTGTGATACGTCCGCTGCCGGCAGTAGAATGTCTCCAATAGCCACGGGCCGGAGTAGAAGTGCTGAGCTATTCGGACACGCCATTGCTATGAAGTGTGCCATAGGCTTCACACCTCCACTGGCGACTGGTAGTGCAACCTCCTGGGCCAAAATCAATGCATCGCCCTGGAAAGCAAAATAAGGCCCCCAGTCTTGGTAGAGAGCAACAGTGATAGCAGTACAATGCCGAAATGTTGGATCAGCCAAGTGAAATTACTTCAAACTTCTCGAATGTTGTCATGTTTTTAGATCTTATCACACTTGGCGAAGCATTTTTTTTTTACCACCAAAGCCCCCTACCTGTTCACTTAGTAGTTGAAGCAGTGCATGGAATCGTCGTTGATTACAGTCCAGTTCTTCCCAATCCAGTTTCCAGCAGGCAGTCGGTCGTAAAAACAGTGGCTGAGTAGGGAATAGAAGAGCACGAACCTCAGCATTGGTATTTCAAGTAAACATGGATCACCGCAACTGGTTGTGCAATCCAAAGCCCAATATCTACTCACATGTGTAAGCTCAGAGATTGGTGACCTCCAATGCTGTCATATGTACAGCACAACTAGGGAATCAACTCTCCTGAGAAGGACTTACAAGTAATGATTGAAATCACTATGTGAAACATTCCGGCTGTAAAGCAGACCTGTGTTGGTCCATGCACAACTATCCTGCAAACACAATCTAAATTACTCTGACAGCAACACTGACCAACAAGGCAGTAAGAAATCTAATGTGATAGATGTCGGACTTACCGAACCAAAGATCTGCATCGGCACGTCGCCACAGTAAAGGCATTAGGTCATGAGACACAAGTCAAGAAGCAGTAGCAACAATCACACAGGAAAAGCAAGGCAAAGCAATTTCAGATTTGGCCGACACCTGTACAGAAAAGCCGTCCTTAGCGGGCACATCTCAACGAGAGCATATCCATCAAGAAGGTGGATGTGCCTGGTATCTGTGTGTCTGTTGGTTTGCTGTACACTGTACAACATTTTTTGTCGTCTCCCGGAAAAATTTCAAAATTTGAAGCCAATTGCAAGCATTTCCGGGTATTTGGTGCCATTTCAGTGTACGGTAACTACAATGAAAGTCTTTTTGATTCTGCAACAAACGAAGAAGACGCTACGATCGGGGACAAACATTACCCTCCCCCGGGAAAAAAATTCAAAAATTGAAGCCAATTGCAAGCATTTCCAGGCTGGCATTTGGTGCCAGCATTTCAGTGTAACTGCAATGAAAGACTTTTTTCTGCAACAAACCACGATCAGGGACAAGGATTTGTCACGTTTGCGCTAAGCTGCGATCGTTGTGCTTTGTTGTAATGTGCTCCAAAAAAAGCCGAAAAAGTGGGACGGCCTTGATATGGGAAGAAAACAAGTCAACAAGCAATTACAAGCACACTGACCAACTGACCACAGAGTCACATACACCGCTGGTCTTGACGAGTGCAATGCTTTTCAGATGATGCGGCCAGCGCGCATCACCGTGCAGCTGGGCGTGAGACGTACTACTGGAGCTCTTGCTCAGATTGAGACCCGAGTGACCGGAAGTGTGACGTCCTGTTGGCCGGGCTGGTGCACCACTTGTTGCAGTGTGTAAGGTCTGTTGCACACACAGCCATGAACGACATGGACAAACAGCAGAATCAGACCGTGAAATGTGAACAAGTGAAATCCAAATATGACTTGTGGCTACAAGTGGCAATGAAGATGGCAAGCTGGCTGTACACCAAACTAGCAGTCTGCACACTGTTTAAAAAAACACTTACAAATTCAGATGCGCCGGGAAGTTGAGCTGGTGGTAGGATTCTCTCCAGGATGTCACACTTTAGCGTGTACGGTCTTGATGATTGGGACTCTAGTGTAAGCAGATTCAGAGACACTCAGTCAGGCAGATCTAACCTAGCAAAAACGTGTGTAAATGTTGGACATTACTCAGCTTGATTTCAAATCAATTTCAAAACAGCACGCATGCACTTGCAGCCATGACATTTTACAAAACGTTATCAGTCCTGCATTTTATTGCACAGCGCTGCACTTGGATTATGTGTGGCAGCAACGTCGGATCACAATCTACTAAGCATTGCTTTGCTGCTCATGTGGACCCTTGGCTTACCTGCTGGCATGTGGATATGGACATGTTCTTTCTCAGTGCTGTCATCTTGCAACCACTGCTTGAAAATGTTCTCAAACTGCAATACATCTGTATGAATGGCAACAAGAGGAGAGATGTCAAACGGTAAAGTCATTCCTCTCGGCTCAAGCATTGGCATTGAGAGAAGAGCGGAATCTAGGACAGCACTTGGGAATGGTATGATTCATTGATTGGCATAGGTGAAGACACATTCAGACTTCCTCCACTCCTGCCGGTACATGTATACCGTAAACACACACCGTATGGTACCCTTCACAATACCTACCTGAATCAGAGTCCATCCACATGCGCAATCCTGTTCTACTACTACTATTGGCAATGGCGCAGATCCAAAACTGCCAGAAGCGGATATTCAATCCGATGACAGTGCACCGCTGCTGCCTGTGTTGATGGTGATGGGGGGGGGGGGGAGGGAGAGAGAGTGATACATGACTCACCTGGTGTAATGCTCACCACATCAATGATCTCTGCACAGGAGCTGTTGCTGGAGTCACTCTCCTTGCCTTGGCTCTCATTAAATGGGCTCTCCGCTTGACCTGCAGCTGAAACGGGTTTGTACAGAACGTATGGAACAGAATTCGCGCGACCTTATCCATCACACAGACCAGAATACTTTAGGCATTTCCATGGATCACGTTCACGATGAATACACCAAGAAACAAACCATACATTTTAACGGTGAATTTCAAGGAGTAGGACCATTAGCGAGCCATAATGTCTTACTTTCAGGATCATTGCTGTCACTTGTGATGCAGATGAGTTGGAGTTTCTGCAGCGGAATTGGAAATATGCCATATGCTGACACCGACATCTGTATCCTCCAAACTGTAATCTGAAGAGAGGATGCATGGCTGAAGCAACCTGATGGCCAAATCGCAGTATGCAAGCAAGCATACATTTGAATGGAAGATGGGATATTTATTCAACTGTCCTATTGGGTCTTTTTTATATACAGTTCCGGTCTGGATTATAGGCTCTTGAAGTAAAATGCCCCCCCCCCCCTCCCCCTCCAAGTTTCCATATCCTTATCAGGATTTGACTTTTACCTTGATCATCTGCAAGTCCACATTCTGAGCTGCCTGGCTGAGCATCGTAACGGCTGGCTTTGGTTGTAGTGGAGTGATAACCGACACTTCCAGTTGTGGCAAATATCCAACCAGCTACCAACAATGATGAAAACAGAAGATGCCAAGAATTTGCAATGATCCTCTAATGCAATGATCCTGCAATGATACTGCAATGATCCTCTAAGAAGCCAGCGCTGCCGCGGCTGGGTATGCATGCTTCAAAACAGGATTCTGTAAATGTGCGGCAATTCCACTATTACAGGTTATACAATTACATCAGTTCAGATGCTTTGGCAAAGTCGCGGCACAGCGATGCAATAGTGACTCACCAGCGGCTTGCGCTGTACACGTATACATGTGCATAGCACCCACAAGTGGTTTCGCTGCCTAACCACCATGACATCATTCGCACAACATCTGTCGGATGCAGGTATACACCTTACACATTGCACCCAGTCTGGTTGGCATAACAGCTTGTTTAAAAGTACTTCAAGTATCATATGTGTCTGTCGATAAATTGCACATTTTCAATAAAGATCTCGTGATAGGTCACGCAGGTTTGTCGCCAGGATAGTGTGCAACTTCTTCTTCCAATAAGCGGTACTGTCTTGTGTGAGGATCTATGATTTCGTGGCAATACAACAACACACACCTTCCCATTGCTTGTGCTTTTTCTGTGCGGTATCTTGAGAGACCTTACTGCAGGCATGCAGGTGAATGCACTGAAACATTGCATGCACTGCATGCACTGCATGTACATGCATGTGTGCACCCTCACCTGGTGTAAGGTTGCACTCTGCTCGTGGTGCTGGTTCAGTGCTTCCGTCAGCACTGCCTGGAACAGCTCTAAGATTGCAAACATCACAACCCACAGACACGTAGTCATAATTATGAAATGTGCAGCACGCTACTGGAATGATACTAGTGCCTTCTCCCTCCCTAGTCTGACTGATAGCACAGCTCGGTCAAGAATATGGGATTGGCTTTCGGAGGAGAACATGATCATACATGGCTATGGCATGGTTGTAGTGTACTCTGTATGTACTTGTACTTCAGCATGACGCCTCACCTCGAGTGGCAGCATGGTCACTGTCGGACATTGTGTGCAGCAATGAGGACTTGACCAGGTCTAGGCTCTCCTGCAGCTTAGAGAAACTGCCCACTCGCAAGTGTTGCAGTGGGAACACAGCCTGAAGGAACATGTGACGCATTCAAGACCAAAGTATTCCGATAAAGTCTCTGAATCATGTACATAACTGTCACAGCCTGTGGTGCTCCTTGTCTTGCTCCCCTGTCACTGTGTGACGGTCACTGACTCACAACTCAGCGTATATTGGCATGATTCGGCTGACTACAGTGTGCGTTGCAGGGTTAATTGAGATTGGGTTTGTTCACCCATCCATGCCGTTGAACATGAAACTGCAGAAAACGTCCCACCGAATTCTTGGCTACAGTGGCATAACATAATGACCTTGCACAGGGACATCGCCCAGGCCGAGGGCGCATTTCAAGTGTCTCCCAGCTATCCAGGAACTACCTGTACGTGTCTGCTATCGGTCCGCAGTTGTCACAACACTGGCTGAGCTACCTGCTTTCCTTGCATGTCATAAACCAGTAAGTGAGTTGACCTATACCCCTGTTGGATATACATGTAATAACAGATTGAGCAATAACCATCCCGCTTTACATACAAATTGTCATTGGTCATAGTACGTGTAGTGCATATCTAAATTTGAAAACTCCTTCTTTTCTCCTGTCAGTTTACTATTCCACTTGTCACATTCAATAGAACCCCCCCCCCCATCTGCATTACTAAAGAGTGGAATAGCCTACAAAATTAATATGTGACAGGCTTACAACCGGGGTTCAATTACTAACTTATGGATCAGATCTTACTACGTAGTATTGGTATTGAACCAGTAAACCGAGGCCCCCAGAATTGGGGGTTGACATTACAACCGAGGTCTACCTATACCGGTAAAGTACGGTACTGGAGCAAAGTGATTGGAATGCAACATGTAGAGCAGTGATGTCGTGTATGTCATGACGGGTCATACCGGGTAAGCCATACAGGTAGCGGATAGTCCCAGGAACGGGATTCGGCACACACCAGAGAGGCTGAGAGCCAGAGCAGTCACCTTGGAGAGACTCTCACACAGTGCGTTGATGGAGTCTGTACCAAACAGGAGAGAGCCATGAACCACCACCAAGCGTGCTGCAGAACACACATGGGTGATGTTATGCAGGCATACAGTGCACAACATAGCCAGCATTATTAATATTATACAGTGGTCCCTCTATAATCCGGCACCATTTGTGCCACGAAAATCTGCTGCATTAGGGAGGGTGCTGGATTAACAAATCTGATTTACTGCTGCAATGTGCATGAAGAGGACATTTTGGCTACTGAAAATTGTGCTGGTTTATCGAGGGTGCTGGATTATAAAGTGCCGGATTAGAGAGGGACGACTGTAAAAATAATCTTTATTTCAGGATTACCTAAAGGCTAACGCCCATCTGTTCATCAGGTTTGGTGCTGATTACAATTTTCTAAAGCACACACACACACACACACACACACACACACACACACACCATGTACACACATCATGTACACACACGCGCGCGTGCGCGTGCGCGCACACACACACACATGATGCGATAAGAAGAACTACATGATTGTAGTATGCCCGAATGGCCTAAAGTAAAGCTACACCTATGCATTTCATCACTGAATATTTACCTGGAGGTCGAAAGGAGTGCACGGGTGATCTGCCAGAGTCACCCATCGTAGATCTACGCGGACACCGAAAGAACTGTAGCAAATACTAGCTATTAAAGTAATAACAAGACAAAGGTTTATGTTTGTTGCCTACGAGCAACCGATCTCGCGCCGCTGGTCACCCTGAGCATACTGCCGGAAGGGATTACCTCTGAGCAGCTAAAAGTCTCTCTAAACGGGCACAGTGTCATCGGCCATGTCAGTCTCCGCGAAGTAACTTTAGTTGGTGGTACAAAACAGTAGGTCCCTTCCTCGTAGCGCGAGCATGTCCCCCACGGGGCCACAGAGCTACACCTACACTGGCATCCGATGATCCAAGGCCAGGGCTTACAAAGGGGTGAGTTGGAAAAGAACCCAGAACTAGCAGCTTCAAAAATGGTGTGGCTACAGTCTTGATCTCACGAGTGAGCCGAATAGCTACTTGAAAAAGGTAAATGGTTGGCGTCTCGCCTATCGCGGGGAGCTCCGGAGGGACCGCGCGTGGCTGCGACTTCATTGGGTTATTTCTTGCTTGAAGTGTAGACCTAGACTCTACACAGTGCATACAGAGGCGGTACTAGTAGACTGGGGCTTCCGAGTTCAAGGGTCAGTTTTCGGTCATTGAACTTTGACCCTTCGCATCCAAGGTCGCTTGTCATGTCTAATCATACTTTCTTACATGACACGTGATCGTTGCCGGGGCCATGGCCAATAGGCGATCTTCCCGCCGCGGGCATAATCAGGCCATCAGGACCGTTTGACGTCATTTCGGGAATGTTCGGACCGTTTGACGTCATTTTGGGAATAATTTTTCGACCTTTCGACCTTTCCACCTTTGACCTTCCCTAATATGTTCCTTCGCGCTGTAAGAAATCAAATCAAGCACGCTCTGTCTGTCATGATGGCTGAATCTTGCCCTTGCCTGCAGCCCTCGGGCCTACGGCCCTTGGGCTGCAGGCTCGGGCAAGATTCAGCCATCATGACCTCCTGAGCGTGCTTGATTACATACATAGTACAGTGTTTTGTAGTAGCTAGCTATCACTATATCAGTTTCTTACATGACACGTGATCGTTGCCGGGGCCATGGCCAATAGACTGTCTTCCCGCCGCGGGCATAATCAGGCCATCAGGACCGTTTGACGTCATTTCGGGAATGTTCGGACCGTTTGACGTCGTTTCGGGAATAATTTTTCGACCTTTCGACCTTTCCACCTTTGACCTTCCCTAATATGTTCCTTCGCGCAGTAAGAAATCAAATCAAGCACGCTCTGTCTGTCATGATGGCTGAATCTTGCCCTTGCCTGCAGCCCTCGGCTCGGGCCTACGGCCCTTGGGCTGCAGGCTCGGGCAAGATTCAGCCATCATGACCTCCTAGCTCCTGAGCGTGCTTGATTACATACATCAGCAAGAGTCCATAACCCATCGGTTATGGACTCTTGGTATCAGGACTTGCACTAGATCATATTTTGGTAAATGTTATTCCGCTTGGTTTTGGCATTCTACATCATAATTAAAATTATTATAATTACATGTATGTATATCACAATTTGTGGTTTCCGTCCGTCAATTCATAGTAGCACTATATAACCCCCAGGGGGTTATGTCTTTTGATAGAGATGACGTTGTACAATTTGTGACGTGTAAAATATAAAGTAAGTGTAAACGCAACATTTTGTGCACCTCTCTTCAAGTCTCATTGTTACTTAGCACATGTGATACTAGTAGTTGTGCCTGGTTGGGTTCATAACACCTCCATTCTGCACTATTCCTTTTGAGTTTTGTGTTTGTGTTGATTTGTCACAATGTGTCATAATCATGTGAGTTTGTTGAGTGTTCACACCTTGCGCCAGTATCTTCTGTATAAAATAGTATTATTCAGTAACTTCATTCAACAGCTGCATCTCAGGCATCTGATGAGTTCCCGGCATCATTCTTCATGGAACAAAACAAGACTGGTCAGGACGTGTGGTGTATTCAGGTGATTGTTTTCATTTTGTCACGTGTATGCTTTGTGAAGTTGTTGAATGTGTTAGAAGCTTGAAGGTGTGTACATTCACAATAAGAAGCCCAATTAAAGTTAGTTTAATACTTACTTTTGTAAGCTTAGCAGAAACAGATAAAATTCACACCTTGGGCTGTTTTAGGTAGGTCGTCAACAACTCGTTACAGGTTTTGTCGCACCACACCGTTCACTGGCGCTTGTTAGATCTCCTCACACTTGCACCTTTCCCTCATTTCTTTCTATGTCTATGGGTTTCAAGATGTTCGAGTCCTCCTTCTTAGTAATAATTATAAGCCGACACAGTTAGTTTTCCTCAGACGAGCCTTTTTACAAAACAACCCATTATATTTTAAAGGAGGTTTACCGTCAGACCCTCTATGCAAGACAACATGAATCATACATAGGTCTGTTGGAAACACCCTAGTAAAATGAATAAAATAATAATAATGGATCGAGCTGGCTAGAAAGAAACAAAGTCAAGAGAAATCGTGTTTCAAACTCTACGCCAAGTATTAGGCTGTGTTTACATGAAGCGTTTCAACCCGGGTCAGATTTCAACCCACCATATACACAAAATGAATGGCACGTTTACATGACGCATTGCGCTTGACTCGGGTTGAAATTTCGCCCCGGGTTGATTTCAACCCTCCCCTTTTGGGGGTTGAAATCAACCCGGGTCAAGAAAATCGTACAAACGTACTCCTGTGCGTATCTCGCGCCCGGTTTGAACGGCACCGTTGCTGCACATGCAAATTTCGCGCGAAACGGATTCATGTGACCATACAGGACTGTAGAAGTGGACTTTTGGCGGCATATCAGTATTTGATCCGGGTCAACTGTCTTCATGTAAACGCTCACCTCTTTTGTCTATCGTACAGACTTTCAACCCGGGCTGAACTCGACCCGGGTTGAAATTTCTCATGTAAACACAGCCTCAGTTGCTGGCAGCGAACAGTGAACCATTCGAGCAAAAACTAGGGCCAGTAGGGGTGATCCGGGTACCTGGGTACCCGTCTGTTTAGCTGCTGATCCGTTAGCAAACGAGTACCCGTTAGTCGTGTACGACGGTACGGTACGGTACAGTATTATTTATTAATAGCTGGCTTGTACAATCGTACAGTTCGATGTACAGTTTGGGTGTGTTGTTGCTGGTTCGATCCTGCTACTGTACAATCATATTCTGTCCCCGGGGAAAATTGCAATTCCGCGGCCGCGTTTTTTCCGCGTTTTTTGCGATTTTTTAAAAGACCGCGTTTTCCGCGATTTTCCCGCATTTTTTGAACTTTTTTGTTGCACTACACGTACACACAGTGCACTGTTCGGTCAGCAACGTCTCATCGTGGCGGCTTTTTACTCAAATATGACGAGTGCTTACACCAGAGACTTGTAACTGATTGATTTCACTACATACTGCCGCACATCAATATTATTCACCGCATATTTACCGCAAATTATGCCATATTATGCCGCGTTTTCCCCCGCGTTTTTTGCGATTTTTTTCCGCAATTTTCCCCGGGGACAGCATATTATACTACTCCCTGCGGCCTAACGGCATTAAACTCAGAGTTACAACCAACCTGAACGTCCTCCGCTGAGTCTGCTATGTACTAAGCTCTATCTCTGACATTGAGCACTCTCTGCAGCTCGGAGATCAACGGATTTGTACTACTCCCTGCTATATATGCCAATTTGGACTGTTTTGCATGTAGCGCAGTAAGGGACCATCGCAAAAGTTCGCAGAAGCCCCTGAAACGAAGAGCATACGTTTGGGGGGGAGGGAGTCGTGTCGAAAATCGCAAACCGGGCTTCAATTCAAAAAAGTATTGACGACATGTAGGAGCTGATATAGATTAGCATGCCATCACCATGATCACAGCCGGCGTAGATCGCTTGTCAGGACGCGTAGTCATGCGCGTGTCGCGTAGCTGGCTGCCTGTAGATCTACACTGTGTGTAGTCTAGTATATGTACCAAGAGTCCATAAAACGCGTGGTTTATGGACTCTTGCTAGTACTAGTACTAGTAGTAGCAGGGGTTCATAGGCCGATGATATGATAGGGTTTATGAACCCCTGCTGTGTAGTATAATTATTATAATAATTATTATGTGTGCAGCATCCAAGTGAAATAATGAAGCCCATATTGTGAATGTCGTTTCGTTTGAGGGGGGAGGGAGGGGGGTCAGGCCCGAAACTCACGGTCTTCGTTTCGGGGGCTTCTGCGAACTTTTGCGATGGTCCCTAAGTGCACATGCTAGGGTCCGGCAGATTCTGCCGGCAGAAAAATTGGCAGAATTCGGTACTTTTTCTGGTAAGTTTCATGCATGTTTGGTATGTGGATAAAAAATGGAGCAGAATTCGAGGAATTGCCCGCCACAAGGTTTGTATGGTTCTGCCATTTCACTGCTTTTCGAGCAGAATCTGCCACCTTTTCGAGCAGAATCCGCCGGTCCCTAGCACATGCTGCGCTTGTCGCCATGTAGTGCACTTGCTGTGAATTGCATGACATCGCATGTCCTCCTGGCACGAAATGTGGAAGGCTATTGTTGTAAACCACCAGTTCTCAATTGGGAAAGGCCTTCGCGCTTATGGCATTGTATTCGTTGAAATGTTGTATTTCGACTCCGCCGTACCGCTGATGCTGCTGCATGGCATACGCTATATGCGTTGTGTGCGTTTTGCTGTATACGCTGTTATGTCCAGTTTTATCTGCTTATGTTTTGCATGTACGCTGTTTTTTGCATGCTATAAATAGCTGGTGTTATTAGTGTTCATTGTTAATTATCAGATGAAGTGAAATATACTGTGTAAAGGAAAAGAGTTGTCCTCGTGCCGTGTGGTCGTACGATCCTGACAATTTAGAGAATCTTGCAGGGTTCACAACATTTGGCGACCACGCCAGGATAGGAGCGAGCATGGCAGAGGAACTATGGAACAATTTGGAAGCCAGCTTTATCGACAATGGAGAGCGGTTAGGATTAGAAGGCGAGTTGTTGAAGGTACATGTGGAGCAGAGGCTCCAACAGTACGCGGAGCGTGAGGAGCGCAGTGCCAGACGGCGAGAGGAGGCGCTCCGCACCGAGTTTGCCAAAACACTAAAGGAGATTAACGAGCACATCGCCAATGCGCAGGAGGGTGAGGGTAAAGCCACGATGGGAGGTACAGAGGAATCTCCCAGTCACAGCGGTGGGCGTCAACCGGTGATGAAAATCCCCTCATATGATGGAACGCAGCCATTGAAGCGTTATCTTGACCTGTTCGAGGACATCTGTTCCAAGAACGAGTTCGAAGAAAGCGAATGGCTGCTGCGACTGCGCATTGCGCTAGCGGGTAGCAAAGCGGAGAGGATATGTATTGGATGCAATAATTACGAGGAAGCAAAACGAGAGTTGCTTGCCTCGCTCGGAAAGACTCCGGATAAAGCGTGGAAGACATTGCTGACAGGCAAGCAGCGGTCAGATGAGT